TTCCTACAGGGCCTTTTATCTGATGAAACTAAAACCTCAGAAGGAAGGATAATTTCTAATTTTGGAATATGACTACGTCACATGAAAACCAAGAATAACATATTAAAACAGTCCCAAAAAAACAGCCAAAATAAGTGCTTTCCTTCCAATCTGGGAGATATGGTGACCCATACTGGAGACTGCGAGACTCCCTCTGTATCCGGGAGACTCCCTGACAATCTGGGATGGTTGGGTTCAGCCTACCTGTAGTCTGGCAAGAGGGATGATCTCTGAATCTTTTGGTTTACGCCAAACTGTAGTCTGCGTCCCAGCACAGTAGTAATAGTAACGGCGTGTTTTCTGGTCGTACAATTCCCACCACTGGCTGTCATTAGCCTTCTTACTGCAATTTTTACAAATAAAGTTGTTACAACTTTTAAAATAACTTGAGAAAAATGTGATTCAAAACATTTATCCGGTATATAAATAATTAAAATACATTTGTAACAAAGATTGTATCAAGTTTCTGGCCACAAGTACGTAACAGCTGTGTGTTTAACAACAAAGTAAACTATGGCGACAGCAGAAGGTGGGTGTTAATTAACAAGGTGGTCTTAAGACACGAGGGTTAGGTCTGTTTACAGTACGACTACTTAAATGAAGGCCACCCAACAAAATTTTCTACAAATTTAATGAATAAAAATTGTGGAGGTAAACAATTTATAGTTTTCCAACAAATTATCCAAAATGACTACAAATCTGTTGCCTTTGAAATGTACAGCTTGATTACAAGGGTAATTTGTTGGAAAACAGTCACTAATTGTTAAATTCCACGATTTTACTGCATTAAATTTGTGGAAAATTTTGTCAGGTGACCTTGGTTGGAGTACTCGAACTGTAAAACTTAAAATTAGTCTCAACTCTCACCAATACCAAAAAGTCTGCTTAAGACCTCAAGGAGTAGAGTGTGATCTGTATATCCCTGGTCAATAATTTCATTGTACAGTATTAATTTCCACAGGATTAATGGTGAATCCTAATACATTATTTTATCAATACATTGCAAGTTCAAAGCAAAATTCACTCACACTCGGACACCAACTGGAGGTTCCCATAAACACTGGCCACTTTTGAGATTAGCATACATGGGTTCCCCGGTCCGGGGCTCAATTATCTCAACCCAGTCTACCCTAAAAAGGAAAATTTAAAATGATTTGTAGATCAAATTAATTTAATTAAAAAATTAAATTATAAAATTTCATAACTAATGCTTACAAGTCTCTTAGAACTGCACTTACTTAGCAATACATAAATTTATATTTTCTTTTTGTTTTTGCAATACAAACCAGTTTTTTAATACTTGCCTTTGTTGAAAATTGATTAAATAATATTTGTCTTAGAAGTTGCACAAAAGCATATGTACACGTGCAAGCTTTAAAATGCTCCTTTTGAATGTATATTGGTACAGCTTTTATGCTGAAGGTGAATTAATCAACATGACACGAGCGTGGGACAAAGAAAAATTCTGAGTCCCCGAAAGGAATCGAACCCATGACCTCCCGAACACCGGGCGGGCGCTCTATCCACATTTCACATTTCATTTCATCACATTTCATTACCGAGCTTAAAATTCACCATCTTTATTAACTTATCAGCTTTTATGCTATATGGCACTTCTAGCATTTGACATAATTATTAACTAAAGACGAGTTAGAAAAAGTACACAAAGCCAAAGGAGAAGAACAAACTATTCATTTTTTTTGAAACCAAAAGCCCAGGCAACTTTGAACTTTTAAATTACAATATTTATTATTAATAGCTATATTAGGTGATGTAGTTTTCTCTTCTGGAAAGAGCAATCTCACAAATTATGCTGGTGGCTTAATAACCCTGAAGATGCCAATAAATAATAAAATCTGCTTGGCTTTGAGAGAAAAAAGTCTTAAAGACCAATTTTGATCTTTTTATGCCACATTTAGATTATGTTACAGATTTAAGTTCTCCAAGCCTCACTCCAGTTAGTCCATCAGACTATCAGCTAAACATAAAGCAGAAGTTTTCTGTTTTATTTTAACCTTTTTTTTATCCTTTTACAAAATTGGAATATCAGTTGTCATAACTGAAATTCCCTCCCATAGAAATCTAGCATAAATATAAGTGTGAAACATAAGTTTAAGGGTTAAGTTAAAGAACATTACATTTGATCTTGAACTTTGATGTGCTTCCTACGAAAGAAATCTTTCAAGTTTTATTTATTGATGATCATCTTCTCAGAAGTCTGTTCCAATAAAAGCCCTCTCAAGAAAAGTGAATTTGGGAGGAATTTATTAATAAACTCACTTTTATGTTCCAAATCAATATCATTGTCTGAACGTGTTAAATATATTCATCAATGATGGTAGCAGATAACAAACTAAGGATAATAACATCACACCAGTCTCATGTGCCAAAAAAATGCATCAAAAAGTCTTTAAAAAAAAACATGCTTTTTTACCGGTAGCTGAAGAGAGGGTATAATCTACAGATAAATGGAGAATTAAGGATTAAATATAATTGAGCATACAATATCCTGAACATACAGGTAGAACTCTGAACAACAGATAGATGAAAGTTCATCCATTACATTAAGTTAGCACTAAAACATTAACAAGAACAATTCATATTAAAATAAAATGGAGCAATTAAAATTGCACGCAATTACGTTGAAAAACCCTAAAACAATTCAATTAACACAATATCAGTGGGAATCAAGTTTGAACTAGCTTAAGGCTCAGGGTTTATTCAAAGTTCTCACACAGTTACAATTATCCAGTTCAACCAAACTAGCAATTAAAAACAGGAATCGTTTTCCTGTCTTCAAAAGCAGATGACCACCGCAGCTTCCTTTGTTGTGTTATGAACTTGAGAATAAGATTTGAACATTTTATTACCTGTTTTTCATTGAAAATTAAAAACCTGACGTCCCACTGATGGATAATTTATAAGATAGACAAACTATAAACACAACAACATAACTTAAATTAGCGGTACATTCGATTCATACAAGTTGAAAAGTCTTCACCTGAACCGCAATTGAGTTAGTAGTTACATATCGTGACAGGTCGTTAGGAGGTAAAATACAAAATGTAAGCTTAATTAATTGTCCCTGAACAAATAAACTCACAGGTACTTCCGAAACAACAATTTGTGCAGAGACCTAGATAACTTTACGAGTCAAAAGCCGGATTAGTGAGCTAAAAGAAGCCGAATTTGATCTCGCTCACGTTATGAACAAAACCGATTAAGAAAACTTAATATTTTCGCGTACCTAGTAAACTATAGAACGAGTGGACTAAACGTCTAATTAGTTGAGCATCATTTATTTTTATTTACGCCATCATATATATAGTAAAATAAGCCTAATTTCAGCAATAAAAGGATTTGATTCGATCGACACTCGCTAGAAGTAATGGAAAGTTCTTGTAAAATATTCCAAAACAGTGCTAATTGCGTTTTGTGTCTTCAATTGAGTACGTTAACAACAATTCACACTCCAGTGGACAAGATTGGAAGAATCGATCTATCCGAGGAATAAAACCGAATTCGATTTCTTTAAAAAAAAGAGGGTAAAGTTCTAAGAAATGCTCCGTAAAATATGGATTCCAAAATAAACAATATATTATAAACAATGCTCCTTCATACATTACAGTTTTATAATTTCGTCGGTCGATTGTTCACCTCCCCCATCGAGACGTGTATGACTAAAAACACTTCATTGACTTCGATCCAGATTGATCAGACAGTCATATCCGTTGTGATCCTAATAAAAGCAACCAGCCAAGGGAAAATATACCTTGATAGCATCGTAAGTTCTCGGATAGGCGTATTTATTATAGTACACGAAAATGCCCTCGCTAGGCTATCACCCCCTAGAGATACGAACTTCACCACGGACAAACAACCCACTAAAACTTGAAATGTAAAACGAAAACGGACGACTGATTATGTTAAACTTACTTCTCAGCCATCGGAGGTTTCACTGGTGGCGAAAGTCCTACAGAAATCTCAGCTGTGTTGCCATAAATTTGGCGTAAAATCCTGAAATTTATCGCCCATACTCCCTGTGATTACCTTACTGCGGTCTTCAGTTTACAAGGCGCGCCTTCAACAGAGAAGACTGGAATCGACTGCTGCCCAGTCTTGTTGAGAGAAACGTCAAAATCTGTATGGGATCGGAGGGCAACTAGAACAATATCGGAATTATTTGTTATGGTTCTATTCCCATCTATTTTGGTCTGCATTTTCTTTTAAAGGATACTTAATATTTATTTAATCAAAGTGGTTCTGTTCAAAATACGATTATAGCAATTCTCTACAAGTCAAAAATGAGGTACAAGTTTAATCTCCACCAGTCCCTCGTTAAAATGATTAATGTTCTCGCCGCCATGTTTTTTCATGACGCAATCAGATTGAAAAAGCAAAGCAAAACAAAACAAAGCCAGTCTGGAAATTTCGGTTTGGGTTGTTTTCACTGTTTTGCTTTGTTAATTACTTTCAGAGCTCTTTTAAACGCCATTTGGACATGAATGGACAAACAAGCAAGCCGTTCAAACAACGAAAAAGCTTTTGTAAGTATCGTGGCTCGCATAATTCTGTCGAAAACGGGCGAAACAGTGAGTGACTCGTCATCGCTGAGAAAATCGTCGCTCTGTATCTAGATCTGTTCCATTTAGCGCTGTTTTATATAAGCTCATTGCTATCGCTTTAGTTTACTGATCCTTTCTCTTTTCTGGCAAACCTCAGCTGCAAGGAAAAGAGATTCGGAGTCGATCATTCGGCAGTATCCCGACAAAGTTCCGGTAAGGCAGAAATCATATCTAATAGCGCTTATTTATAATTCCACGAAATTGCCAAACTTTATGCCGGTTATGTTAATTTAGGCTGACCAGTGTGGTTGTCGAAAATAACCGAAATGTATTCATAATAAGCGAGTTGTAACTACGGTAGCAATAGTTTCATTTCTTGGTGGCTAAGCTTTTGCTCTTTTCTTTGCCGGTACAGGTAATTGTAGAAAGATTGAAAACGGAGAAACACTTACCCATTCTAGACAAAATCAAGTATTTAGTTCCGTCAGATCTCACCATGAGTAGCCTGTCAAGCATCATACGGTAAGCTTAGCTTAACTTGAGTTACTACAGTTTAAAACGGTTGCTTAGAAAAGAGGCAAATACTCCATCACCTTGCAGGACAAATATGGAATTTATACTTATATTATGAAACTTACTGTCAAACTCAAGGGGCCTTGCAAGGGCTCTTTACTTGGGCTCTGAAAAACGCAATATTGTGCTTCCTAGCCTTAAAACTTGAGTTGTTTACCATTTTTAACAGATAATCTTAAACATTTCGTTTTGAAAACAAGTGGAATGTTCGGTACTTTATTTAAGAAATAGTAAACATGTGCCATGTTTCTATCGAGTTTTGGTATAAATCTACTAGCTTTCTATCACAAATGCTATTCTGTGTTTGGCTACGCTACTCACTATCTGTTCTGTTATAACGTGTGTTGTAGACAGTGAGGAGCATAGCGTGCACTTGTTAGCAAACTGGAGGCCGCTTCTTGGGGTTTTCGAGGCATCTGTGAAGAGGATTTAGACAAAGTTTTGAACAACTAGTGGATTTATACTAGAACAAATTTTAGATTATTCACTCTCAATTTCTACGCATGATAGTGGACTTGGACTGTGCCCTCGTCAACTATCACATGATAAAAATCTCGAGTTCGTAATCTAATTCTTTGATAGAAACACAAGTCAAAGTTTGGGAGAATGAGAAATGTTGTTGGAACACAAACCGACATGCAAGTTTTTCCACAGCTTTTGTGAGTTCTCCCAAACTTCCAAAACTTCCTCTTCTTTACCACTTCCCCTTTGAATTGGATGCTAGTCCATCACAGGGTTATCCCCAGCATTAAATTCCCTAGTTCTGATTTTATACTGCTGTGTGGAGAGAGGCAGTATGAGATTTAAATCTCTCAAGATTTACATGATTTAAATGGCTTTTTCTATAGCAAGAACAAGAATTCAAAGTGTTTAGAATGCAAGTGCAAGACGTTCAGACTCAAAGAAGTTTAGCAGTCATTTATACAAAGCAAACAAACAATTGAGACTTGTGAGACAAAAATTTTGCAAGACCCATATTTTTTTTAAGGACCATTCATCGGACACCTCTTTTTTTCTTTGTTTATTTGTTTATGTGAGCATCTACTGACTTCATTTTTTTTTTTGGTTTAAAGGAATATTTTGTCAATTTAAACATTCATTTATTTCATTCATTTTTTACAATTTCTTTGCACATGTACATGTACGTAGGAAAAGACTTCAGTTAACTCCAACCCAAGCATTCTTCCTTATTGTGAATGAAAAAAACTTGGTCAGCATATCCATAACTGTTGGAGAAGTTTACAAAGACGAGAAAGATGAAGATGGATTCATCTACATGGTGTATGCCTCGCAAGAAACCTTTGGTTCTTCGGCTGTATAGTTTTGCTTTACTTATTTTGTGTTGTGGTACAAACACTTTGTAAATGTACAGTCATGTAAATTAGTTAACTTTAAGAGTGGGTTAATAAATTTATCTACTATGGAAATTATATCTAGACAGTTCTAAACTGGACTTGTGAATGTGTATCATAGACTTTTCAGAGGCTCAATACTACACGTACATGTACATCTGTAGCTTTGTTTAATGATGGCATAATGTACTTTGAATTATGTATAAAAGTTCTGTGATCAGATGAATAGGGATTTTGAACAGGATACAGAACATGCATATATGGTACTCTTTAGACTTTTGGGAAGTATATATACGCTACAATTTGCTATTTTCACTTAAAAAATAACCAACACAAGTATTGTCTTTTAACCTTTTTTTTCTTCACAATTCTCCAAAGAAGATTCAATTCTGATCTGGGATAGGATGGGTAGAGACTGGGAATTATTTGCAAGAAGTAAGTGGGTTAAGAGTTTTTAAACTTGTGGATCTTCAAAGCTGTTTTGATTACTTTTAATTAACATGCATGCATAAATTTACAACGTGACTTATTAATATTGCAAATCTGATTCAAAGACCATGCTTCTTTTGAAGTCAGCGGTATGTAATTGCTAATTAAATTAGTGAAAGTAATTAGATGAAACAGTACACTGGCTTCCTGGGAAAATTATTTGACAACTGATGGACCGAATGACGCAATAATTTCTGTAATTGGCCCTTTTCCAATCTATAATAAATAACTATAATAAATGACAACATTAAATCAGAGTACCTAAATTAATGATATTAAATTCCCAGTGAAAGGTGTAATTTGCAGACATTAAAGGAAACACTTAAATTGAACAAAAGCCTGTTATATTGGGTAAGCTTTCAATGCAGGGACACAAGGTTTGGAATGAAAATGCTTTCAGAGACAGGACTTGCCTCTCAGAATTCGCTGTGAACTAGAAATTTTGTTCCTGACCTTCAAAGAAAATGGGTGACAATTTACTAAAGGAGGTTACCACTGCAATTGGCTCTCTTTGGTGGTAACTTACAATATATTTCAGTAAAATGGCAGTTTAGTGAATCTGAGAAACCTTTCATAGTAAATTCTCGATTTCATTCGCCAAGAACATGCATTTCGAACAAAATTGATGTTTTCAAAGTACTGTTGTGTTGGGTAAGCCTTCATTGCTGGGTCTTCAAGTTTATGGAAGGAAAAAGGTTTCCTTGAGTGCTGTACTTCCACTCAACCAGAAATTCCGGAACTCTTGAAACGGAGGCAAATGGTACAGAAATTTCTTTGGAAAGTTTCCAGAAAATCCGATACTTGTTACATTTCCGAAATGCAAACCATTCAAACAGAAAATTCTGGGAGGAAAATTCCCGGGGGTGAAGGGAACTCCCCTATAAAAAGAACGGGGGCGCTCGTCATAGCTTTTAAGGGTTAAAAAGGCAGTTTTGGTATATCTTAGGGTGTTCAGCCTAAAAAGGCCCACACTGGCCATGGGAGCTTTCGCGGTACCGTTCAGGGTATTGAGCCGAAAAAGTCAGTGTCGGTGACAGTCAGTGTTTCAAATATTTTGTCTTAGAATTGGTACCTCTTAGGGGTGAAAAAAATTTCAAGCCACGCCCACAAAACAGGATCTTGGTACCTATTAGGGGCTCTTTTCAAAATTTCCGATGAGCACCCCCGTACTTTTTATATGGGAGTCCTTTCTCCCCCGGGGGGGGGGGCGGGGATCAAATGAAACGGATAATCTCGGTAAGAAGAGGGTGGCAAAGGGTTTTTGCGTGACGTGTGATCGTCCCAAAATTAGCAGCGTGATGCGCGATCGAGACCAAATTAGCCGTCTCATGGTACTATAGGTCCAAACAATTGTGGTACAAATTATGGGAATAAGTCAATTGAAAATAGTTAAACTTTGCAGAAGGACTATGAGCTTCAGTGTTATTTTTGTCCATTTTGTCGACCGATCATTTTGGCGGTGCATCAGACCAAGAGAATATGACATACCATATCCGAATCCGGCTATCGTATAAAAGGTCTGAACGAATTTCGTCCAAAAGAGCTGAAACGATATCACACGTTAGAGTTTGGTGTCATTTCATGCGACTCGAGAAGACAGTTGTGTAAGCAAAGAGAGACTACACAAGGGAAACAACGTTTGTGTGCCACTTAATGAGGGTCGTCGTAAAGACCTAACTGAATTCAAAGGGCACGTTATATCCGTTAGACATAAAAACATTGCCGCACAGAAAAGGATTTGCAGGTGTAAAGCTTTGACACAAATATTGCCTGTATATTAGAGCCTGGCAAAGGTGGAGTTGACGTATTCTCAATTCGTAAACAAGATCTCTGCCAACTTAGCCTGTGAACAAGCTCCCGATTGTGTTATAGGAGAATAATAAAAATGTTTCCTGAACAAAACGAGTGGCTTGTCGTTACACAAATTAGATCTGGATGTCACGAACTTCCTTTTAGGTATGCGAATCACAGACCCTGGTATTTCCAAGATCTGGAAGTCATGAATTTCCGTTTGGGTATGTGAATCTCACACAGATGGTCTCTTACTATACTAATGAATAACTAGAGTTCTTTTTAAATGTGTTCCAGGTTTCTTCTGATAGATCCGACAGTAAAAGTAAGTAAAGTTGTGACTGCTGCCAGTCCAGTCCGCGCCCAGTTATGTTTCGCGCCATTTAGGGTCACGTGACCAGTGTGTTTTTGACTAGCGTGGTCGTAAGGATTTGACCCAAGTCTTAGTGGATTTACGCTCGTTTAACGTGCCTTTTTTGTGCCTTTCGCGGTCCTGAGGCTGGACAAGATAACAAAGTGTATATTTTTGTCCTAAGTTTATTAAGTCTCTGTTTTTTGAACTTTCTTTCCAGTTTTATTTTCATGTATGTCATGTGGCGTTGTTCGACAAACATTCGCATCGAGTCATAAGTGTAATTTTTGCATTTATTTTAGTTTCACGGCTTCCGTTTGAGGTCAGTTAAGTCTACCAACCATAACTACAGTGGTTCGTTTAATCTATGTAGTTACAAAAGTAAAACTTTATTTAGCCACCTGGTCATGATCATCCTTCGTGATAACGGCTAGTAACATATAACGAATATTAAACTGATTAAACTTGATCGAGGTCCTTAAAAAATTCCACTCTTAATTAAATATTTATCTTGTTTGCGGTGTGTATTTATGGTGCATTTCTCCTTTGCGCAGGACCTCCTGCGATTTTTTTCTCTTTGTACTCACTGAAGAACGCCGCCTGATTATTGACTTCAATAGGAGTCTAGGCCCGGTCGTGCACACTACACCGGAGGAATTCAAAAACGCAACAATCACCGGTCGTTTTCTATTTCTGTTTCAGGAAATCTTGGCCAGGGAAATCACGTGGTTCTCCTGATCCTATCGTGTTCGAAAAGGTCCGTTTTAAACGTAATGTTTTCCTTCCTCACGGAAACTCAAAGCGGGCGTTTTCAAATTCCTCCGGTTTGAAGAGGGTTTTCGAAAAGTTCCGTTTTCGTGACGGATTACTCTGGACCGTAGGCCTAACCGTAGAAATAAAGCTGGATGCGTTTTTAAATCCCTCCGGCGTAGTGTGGGCGGAGTCTGGAGTAAACCACGACGTCAATGAGCGCCACCAACCAAAAGGAGCAAAACAAGGGTGTACAAGTGTGTTCAGTAAACCTTTGTACATTTCATAGCCGTCCTCTGCAAAATAACAGGGAGTTTAAGTAACCACGACGGTGACGCTTAGGACAACGTCGATGGAAAAATAACTTTATATTTTACCTATGAATCTCGCGATACTCTGAAGTCATTTAATTTGTTTATCACTGTCAAAACTATCGCAAAACTAAATTTAAACCACAGTGATAAATTTGAAACAAAAATTTAAAAAAATTAGCCGTCGTGGTTCACGTTCTCCAGACAACGCAGAATTTGATCATTTCACGTTGCTGTTTTGCAGAGGACGGCAAAGAAATGTACCAAGAATTATAACACACGTACACAGCCATTGTTCTGCTCATTAAATCTTTTGTTTAACGACGTTCCCGTTGCCTTTGCCGTCGTGGTTTTCTTAAACTCCCTGGAACGCAAAATGACCGCGAACGCGAACGATGAGTCGAACTGCTGATTGTTCGTATTTCCATTTAGAATTGAACGCTGTCATTACATATTAAGCCTGAAAGAGGTTTTAGAGCCATTGGCATCCTGGACAAATTCAATTTTACAAGGCGTTGTTCTCGGCGTCGCCGTCGTCATTGTTAAGATCCCTATATTTGCATCTCGGATGCTGGAAGGTCGATACACTTGTTTAACGACTGCGGTCTGTCATCATAAGTGGCTGCTTTGTGCTTTGCT